TTGTTTACTTGCATGATCTGATCTTTAGTCTAAGTGGGAGACTAAAGGAAGGAACGTGGAAGACAAGATGGTGCCTTATCTTATGTCCATTGGTCTGTGTAAGTAATGGGATGTAAAGCAAGACATTATAAGATGAGAAAGCAAGTTGAAGTTATGTGTGGTTAATCTCAAGGTGGTCAAGTAGCTGGGAGCTATTGTGTTCCAATGGAGGTTATCTCACCAAGGTGTGGTTAAGTTCATCAAGGGATGGTCTTTATTCTCCAAGGGGTGATTAAGTTCACAAAGGGTGAGGGTAATTGTAATACCATCAAGGGTGTTTTAATCATCAAGGGAGGAAGTGTTGCAGTCATGAGAGTCTAGACACAAAAGGGGGGAAACACCAAGGGTTGTGAGAGTGTTCACAAGTGCATCAAAGTGTTGAGCAAGGGGTGTGAGAGAAAAGAGAGCTTTGGGAGATAATAGAGTTCTAAGGGGGTTTTTCTGTGTAAAACCAAAGTTGTAACTTATTCTTTCATGAAGTGAATTTCTCAAGGGGATCACCAAGAGGATGTAGGCAATTGCTGAACCTCTATAAATTCTTGTGTCACTTTGTGCTTGGTTGTTGTCTCAAGTGTGTGTGTGTGATTCATCCATCATTGTGTGTGTCACAAAGTCCATCAACAACAAGATCATTAGGGGAGTGAGTGAAAGTGTTTGTCCATTTTCACAACACCTGGCTGCCTCTGTGGACATGGTGTTTCCAGTCATACATGGTAAATTTGGTGAAGATGGTGGCATTCAGGTGTACTATTGCATAACCTTTACTTCCACTGCAAGTTTGCAACACAAACACACACTAATGGATTTATTTTCTATTTCTTCCTTTGGTATGTAATATTTCAACATATGATGTTTCAGGAGTTGCTGGAAAAGTATAACATTCCATTTGTTGGCACGGGATCAAGTGAGTGTTGCCAAGCATTCGATAAGGTACGAGATGATGAATTGGACAATGATTGTTACTACAATATATAAAAATTATTTTAATATATATAGAGAAAGAGTTAAAAAGAAAGAAGATGACAATAACTGTTTGTGCTTTTGAATTATGGTGCAGTACAATGCCTCATTGGAGCTCAGCAGACAAGGATTCATAACAGTACCAAGTTGTTTAATACAGGTACTATCTCAACTTAGTTGTCTATATATTTATAAAATACACGCTTTTGTCAAAATTTTCTTTATCTACATAATGAGGGATGAGCATCAGTAGGCTGCATAACTTTTTCCCACGCATGATGGCATCATTAGTTGCACTTTTGAAGTTTGTTTCTGTCACTAATTGTGAGTATTGATATTGGTTCTTGAGGATACAGTAATTTGGATGGTTGTTTACAATTTTGTGAATTTTGGCGTTGATGTATTTGTTCTTTTTAGTTTCTCTGACTCTAATGACTTACAGGGAAGTGAAGCAGATGAATCTGAACTGTCAAAGTGGTTTGCAAGAAATCAACTGGACCCTAAGTCAGGGAAAGTTGTGGTAAGGCACATATTGAGTGCTGTAATGTAATCAAACCCAGAGTGTAATAGTGTTTTATTTGGTCTATTTATGATAATATAACATCTTTGTTATCTTGTTCCAGGTAAAAACAACACGAGCAGGATCAAGCATTGGTGTTACGGTTGCATATGGCCTGGCTGATTCCCTTAGCAAGGCTAATGCAATTATTACAGAGGGTTTTCGTATTTCTTTGTTCCCCTTTTTTTTTTTTTCTTAAACTCTCACTCTTCTAAATGTTTCATGAAAGTTTCAAGAGAGTTTTAACCATGTGCATGAACTTGGACCATGTTGGTTTGAATATGAATTTAGCTGGAAATAGAAGGTGCAATATCCTGAAATTAATTTTGAAAAACGTGGTTTCAAATATAGAGTAGAAAGCATTCACTGATAAAATTTGTTCTCTTTTTCATGTTTGATAGGGAATTGATTCCAGAGTCCTCGTTGAAATCTTTCTTGAAGGAGGGAGTGAGTTTACAGCTATTGTTCTTGATGTGGGATCTGGTTCAGATTGCCATCCTGTTGTATTACTACCAAATGAGGTATGAATGCTCCATTTCTGTGTTTGCTTCATGTCATTGTATTGCAAATAATTAGTTGGAATATAGAGGACATCATTATCACCTTGTAGGTATATTACACATATAATAGATATTGATTAATATTACTCCTTAAAATGACCAGGTGGAACTTCAATTCCATGGCAGTGTTGATGTTACGGAGAAGGATGCAATTTTCAACTACCGGAGGAAATGCCTTCCAACACAGCAGGTAGACCAGTTTTTGACCTTACAGAATCACATACGTCAGTGTTATTTTATATGTCCACATTTTTCTGTCTATTTGAAAGGGTTCATAAAATGTTTATTATTTGACTTCTGGTGCGTGATGTGTAATAAATTTCTCGTGTCATCTTTCTGATTTTTAGTCTATGCATGCCAAACAGGTTGCCTATCACACTCCACCTCGTTTTGCTATTGATGTCATTGAAAGTATTCGAGAAGGAGCATCTCGGTTATTCCAAAAGCTTGGCCTCCGTGACTTTGCTCGAATTGATGGATGGTTTCTGCCTCAATCTATTCATGTAACATCATCGTCAGATAGCAAATTTGGAAGGACTGAGATGGGTACAATATTATTTACTGACATTAACCTGGTAAGAAGGCTGTCTAATAGTCTCAATGATATTTATTCTAGGTGTTGATTCTTCTTAGATATTCAAACTATCTTTATTTCATTCATCAGATTAGTGGGATGGAGCAGACCAGCTTTTTGTTTCAGCAAGCCTCGAAGGTGCTTCTAATTTTAATTTTGTTTTAATGGAAGTCGTTATAGATTCTATACGGTGTGAATGATTGTTGTTTTTTAGCATCTTAGTATTTTACATTAATCACTACAATAGCAGCTTTTAGCATTGTTGTATGGAAAATCTTAAGCATGCCTTTAAGAATGACTTACAGAGTTCAGGCAGCAAATGACATGCAAATCATGAAAAGCTGTTGTGCATGACATCTCCCCTCGCCTGCCATTTCTATTTTTCCATTCTCTCAGTACTTGTTACATTTTGGTGCCACTAACTTGCTTGAAAACCTGCTTTTCTGATCCAGGTTGGTTTTTCTCATTCAAATATTCTCCGGAGCATAATTCGTCATGCTTGTGTGCGGTATCCGAATCTTGCATCATTTGGCAGTGTATCAGATTATGCGCCTAGAAGATCAAAAACCTCAATGCTTAATGAAGCAGTTCATAATTGCAACGGCACTCGAAAAGTTTTTGTTATTTTTGGAGGAGATTCATCAGAGAGGCAAGTATCTCTTGTCAGCGGAACAAATGTTTGGCTCAACTTGCAAGCTTTTGATGATGTAAGTGTCCAATTCACGGGGCATGTGGTTTTTTGAGTGTACAATATGCTCTATGGTTTGGAAATGTGAAATGTTCAGAATGGGGACATTGGTTAAATTTTCAAGACGCTACATAGAAATTTTCAGGGAGACAATCCTATTTTGAAAATTTTCTAGACGATGAATGTATAAGCATATGAGTTAGCTATTTTTATAAGCTTTTGCAGTCATTTAAAATCTGAACATCTGTTAATGTTTTTCATCTAGAAGAGGAACGTCTCATCAAAGCTTTGATTATGTGTTTGAAGAATTTTAGTGGCTCCTTTTCAACTTCTCCTGAGACTATCTCCAGTAGTTGATCAATGATTTAGAATTAATTCACTCTGTAGATAACTATATTGTCGTTAGAAGTATTCTTTATTTGATCAAAGTGCATGATAGTTATGACTTTGTCTGACATTGACAATCTTGTTGGCTACAGCTCGAAGTAATTCCATTTTTGCTTGCCCCCACAACTGGAGATTCATCTAACGAATTTGATGTGAGTTCCAGAACAGTTTGGTCTTTACTGTAAGTCTCTCTCTCTCTCTCTCTCTCTCTCTCTCTCTCTGTGGATGGGTGGGTGCACAAGGTGGGGGACAAGTGAAGATCCCTTTTTTTTGTCAGTGTAAGTTATATGTATCATTTTATGTGGGCTTCCACTTCTCTTATTGAAATTTTACTCATTTATTAGAATTACTACCAGAAATGAAAATTGGTGTAGAACATTAGAAGTCTTGTTTACCCCTCGAAGTGATACTTCAGCAAACCTGTGAACACTTTTGGCAAATTTTCTTATGATATATATAAGCTAGTTAATTCTCCATCTTCCTTGACATGCATATTATGCTATAGAAGATCTACTGGAATCCTGAGTTATTAATTGCCGTTTCATTTACTATGTACTTAAATACCTTGAAACCAAGATATCTACCAATGCAGTCCAAAAGAGCTTTAAAATGTTTTAGGGTGACAATGAAACTTCAGTGCAGTCCAAGTTCTTAACTAAAGCATATGGGTGTTGTAGACAGGGCCCTCTTCCTCTAAACACTTTCTTCATACAATTTAATTAGGTTTCTTCATGAACAGTTATTCTCTTGTGCTAAGACATACCACAGAGGAAGTTCTTGATGCATGCATAGAGGCAATTGAACCTGACCGAGTTGCACTTACATCTCACTTAAGGAACAGAGTTGTTCAAAATCTCATGGAAGGCTTGAAGAAACATTCCTGGTTTACGGGTTTTGATATTACTGATGAACCACCTGTTAAATTAACTGTTGAACAGTGGATCAAGCTAGCCAAGGAAGCTCAGGCTACAGTTTTTCTTGCAGGTTTTCTTTGTCAACCATTATCTGCTAGTGATAGATTGTTAACATTTTATTTTCTTCATTATATCAGTACAATTTAACATAATTACTAATGTCTGAGAGATCGTCTGGATGTTTTAAAAAGAATTTCACTTGTATTAGTTGTGGGCAAATATAGTCCAAATGGAGTGTTGATTTTATGAACCATCATTGCTGAAACAGAAGTTCAGAGAGAGAGAGAGAGAGAGAGAGAGAGAGAGAGAGTTCATAGGGTTCTGATTCCATTATTTAGGGACTTGGGCAAGAAGAATTTGTAGGTTCTTTAGCTGCTAACAGAATAATTGCAAAACACTAATAAAGCTATTTATAGCTACATGCTTGACAACATCTTATTCCATTTCTTCATTTGCCTTCTCTTCCACCTATTCATTTTTGCTTTCACCCACTGCACCATTTTCACTTTCTTCCAATTCAGTACCCTTAATTTCTTCCAATGAACCCTCATTTTCTTCCACTTCATTCTCATTTTCTTCCTCTTCATTTTCATAGCATTATTTTCATCATCTGCTTGAACATCATTATCTCCTTGCACAGCATGCACAACATCATCATCATTTCCATCTCCATCCCTTAACGATACAAAACAAACCCATTTCCATCACTTAATAACATTCAATGCACAATAAATCAACCTTGTATAACTATATAATTACCTAATTTGGTAGAGTACTATCATTTTCAACTCAGCAAAGAATTGTGTGATGTCTTGTTTTGGCGCACAATCACCAGGTTTAGTCCATTCAAACCTTGTTGTGTAAGGTTCTTCAAGTCCTCCTCTTCTCGCACAAAATGATATTTGTGCTGACAGTTCATCATAATTGGTGCAGGATTGATTAAAAATCCAGCCCAAAAAGTTGAAATGGTCATCACGAACTTGTATACCTCCATCATAAAACCTGAAAAGTTAAATAAACAGCAAGTGATGAGATGTAAAGAAAATTAAAAGAACTGAAGACGTAAAAATTTATTAATATAGAATGTATTGTAAACCTTATAGTATCTCTCACAACTCGGTTGTCATCCTGGTACCAATTCTCAAGCTCTGTCTCAGCAATACATCTGTAGCAATTTAAAAATTACTAATTATTAAATAAGCCATACTAATGATCACTAATCAAATATAAAAGAATTTACCTATTCTTAAAAAGGCATATTGATTCAAGTAACACTTCACTCAATAGCTGATGTGGCCATCCCAGTCTCGCGATCCTCCTTCCGTCCAGTAGAATCTCAGACCAGATATAAAATGAAACACGAAAAGTTCCAGTCATAAAATGCAACCCGGCGAGGTTCCTCAATTCGAACTTGACACGATTGTCGTCGTCCAACAACCCTCTATTGAAACCCCCAACAAAGCTACCTGTCACTATTGTGGTCATTCGATATACTGGTATAATGCAAGACGGCTGCTCATGAGCATATAGAAACCTAACATAATTAATAACAAATAAAGATGTTTAGCCATATATACATTTATAAGTACATAAAGAAACCTGAGATAATTAATAACAAACAAAGATGTTTAGTTACATATAAGTTATCCAAAAAAATGAATCAAAATATGATATATATTTCGCTGGCCCACCTGTTGACTCCAAGGTATATGGTTTTTCGAACATTTGGGTCACCACATGGAACAACCATAATAGCCCTTTCTGGTGAGCTATCCACAGGAGCATCTGAATCATTTGGTATTTCTGAAAAAATGAATAAATAAGTACAAAATTAAAGAAATATTAAAGATATTAAATTAACAAACTTCTATTGTAAGTAAAAAATAAAAATAAATAAAAATTTAAATAACCTTCAAAATCCACCATTATTGCCTCCTGCAAAAATCATATTAAAAAATTAATAAACTATATATAATCAAGAAAACCCATAGATAATCAAGAGGCCGTATAGCATAAAGAAACACAAATATAATCAAGGACCTATATATGTACTCAAGAACCCATATTTTATGCATATATTCTAAAGAAACTCATATATTATAAACCCATATATAAAATAATCAGTTGCTAAGCATAGTTGGAAACCACCGAGAACAAAAATCGCTTTTTGTTTGCAAGCACCTTTCATGGAACACATAAGTCTACTCAAAAGAAAATTCAAGGAAAAACTAGGAAATGTATATGAAAATTATGAAACTATGTTCATATATGAAACTATGAAATGCATATGAACATTACAAACGGAAATTAATAAACTATATATAATCAAGAAAACCCATAGATAATCAAGAGGCCGTATAGTATAAAGAAACACAAATATAATCAAGAACCCATATTTTATGCATATAATCCATATATAATCAAGAGAACCCGTATATTCTAAAGAAACCCATATATTAGAAAGAAACTCATATATAATCAATAAACCATGTATTAAAAAGACGCCATAATAAAGAAACTCATATTATAAACCCATATATAAAATAATCAGTTGCTAAGCAGGGTCGGAAACCACCGAGAACAAAAATCGATTTTTGTTTGCAAGCACCTTTCATGGAACACATAAGTCTACTCAAAAGAAAATCCAAGGAAAAACTAGGAAATGTATATGAAAATTATGAAACTATGTTCATATATGAAACTATGAAATGCATATGAACATTACAAATGGAAATTAATAAACTATATATAATCAAGAAAACCCATAGATAATCAAGAGGCCGTATAGTATAAAGAAACACAAATATAATCAAGAACTCATATTTTATGCATATAATCCATATATAATCAAGAGAACCCGTATATTCTAAAAAAACCCATATATTAGAAAGAAACTCATATATAATCAATAAACCATGTATTAAAAAGACGCCATAATAAAGAAACTCATATATTATAAACCCATATATAAAATAATCAGTTGCTAAGCAAGGTCAGAAACCACCGAGAACAAAAATCCCTTTTTGTTTGCAAGCACCTTTCATGGAACACATAAGTCTACTCAAAAGAAAATCCAAGGAAAAACTAGGAAATGTATATGAAAATTATGAAACTATGTTCATATATGAAACTATGAAATGCATATGAACATTACATTTGAAACTTAGAAACGAAAGATGGAGGGAGAGGTATATTGTCAGAAATTGAACCTGTATAGAATCTTTTGTGCTTGAGAATTGAGGAGCAACGAGAGAAGCTTGAAGAACACGGAAGCTTGTATTACTATCTCAGAAATCGTAGACTGCTGTGTGTTTGAGAATCAGAATTGTAAAACGACTTTAGCATGTGCTTTATATTAATGCCTTAACAAAGTGAGGCACACTAGTGCCACGTGATAGTGTGGAATGTGCAAACAAAATCAAGGGTCCCACAATATCTCAACGACCTCTGTAACAAACTCCAATGAAAGGTGGTACGAAATGAAAAGTGGACGCAACAAAAAATTAGGATTTACCACGTAATAATAGTTCTTCCAGCATGGTCTGGGTGGCGGTGGGTGGGCCTGGATTCCCCTTGTAATTGGAATTAAGGACCTGTACACAAAAAACAAAGAAATCAACTTCGTCTCATCTTGATTTATCAGAGATAGACAAGTTAATCGGACCGCTCAGATGCGATCTGCATTTACCATATTGGTGGTTTCATTAAGAAGTTGCAGGCTGCGTCTTGATCCAAGCTTCTTAACGCCTCCAGCCGGCATTGATTGATCACTGCACAAGACTCACCCGTTTAGATTAGGATTTTTTTTTTTTTTTTTGGACGAAATAAGCTTTCATTGAAAAGGAGAAGAAAAAACAGACAGTCACCTATAGAGAATTAGAAACTCAGGGAAAAAAACTAAACTCGCAGAGTCTAGAAACGCAATTTTTCCCCACACAGACAAAAACACAAAAATTACAATTAAGGGGGACTAGGGAGTCCATCAGAAGCCAAAACCCGCACCAGAGACGGAGGTGGCTGGTTAGCCCATCCTTGCGGACACACCGCCCTTAAACCTATCGCTGCAGTCATGAGCCGCACGATTTGCTCTACGAGGGATCCAACACCATTCCACAGCAGAAAAACCTGCACTCAGGCGCCTGATCTCCTCTATCAGAGGGAGAATAGTCCAGGCCTTCGTGCAAAAGTTACCCTTGATATTATCAAAGAGGACTTTTGAATCTGATTCCATCACTAACCTTGAGTATCCTCTCAGTCTTGCACATCTCAGAGCCTCGATGGCAGCTTCCGATTCTGCATTCAAGGCACTGTTGCAGTAACGCTTACTAGCAAATCCATAGTAAAATTCCTTTTCCTGATTTCTAATCACCACGCCCAAGCCTGCCTCATGGTTTTTCCAAGCAGCATCGAAATTAATCTTAATGGCTCCGTTAACAGGGGGTTTCCAGGTGCTATCGGAGGGAGTGAAAACACCATCCCCATTCCTGTTGGATACAGCTTGACGCCTCATCGCATCAAATTCCTCTGCAGCTGAAACAGCATACTCCACCACTTTCCTGGGATCGATTGTAATGCCCTCAAAAATAAATTTGCACCTTGTTTTCCATATCTCCCACGAAAGAAAACTAACCAGGGACATAACCCAAACTCTTTCGGATTAGGAATTACTTCCAATGAATCGGGGAAAAATCAATTGCAATTTCTAGAGTTAATTTTTCGACACAAACAAGGCACATACATCAATCAGACAAATATTCAAAAAAGATTCAAACCCAATTCAGCTCTGAATTGTGATTCGAAAACCCAAAGAGACCGTGCTTTTTTGGTATGGGACAGTACAACTTTCATAGAATCGCAAATGTCAAGAAAAAGCTACAGAAAGAGGCAAACAGACCCAGAGCTAGAGCAACCAATGCAAAATGAAACTGAGAGAACTTAGATCTAAAGCAGCTCAGACAGAGAGATCGACTGTGAAGCTTACACTGGTAGACTGTCTTTTTCACCTTCGATTTCTTCAAGTTCGACGAGCCGTACCTGGCTCTGGGCACCATCGAAAAGAATTAGCAGGTTTCGTTTCAATGCTAGAGAATGCTACTTGATTCGAATTGAGATGGATTGAAACGGATTGAGCATGAAGAAAAACTCAATCCGCAGTTTGTTTTTGAAGGAGAGAGAGAGAGAGAGAGAGAGAGAGAGGATTTGAATTTTAGAGGAATGTGAGAAAGAGAGAGAGAGAGAGAGAGGGGATTTGAATTTTAGAGGAATGTGAGAAAGAGACTTCAATTTTAAGGGCGCGTTTCGCCAAAAAAAAAATAAAAAAAAAATTCTTGAGGGCGGGAATGGAGAGCTAACTAGACCGGATTTTTTTTATAATAAAATAAATAAATATTTTTTTACAAATTTCAACTAAAATGTTATTCATTGGGCTTTAAAGAAAAAAACCTCCCAAATCGAATATTGACCGTACTAGATCGAATGTCTAATTTGATATAGGTTTTATTTATTTAATTTTAAAATTGATAAGAAAATCGAATTACTGGATTAAAGTTGCGTATTCATTAATACTTAACTCACAATCAACCGAACCAAAGCCAAGTGTATTACAATTTAACTCAAATCAGACCTTCAATTGAGTATGGTCAGTATTCGATTTGTTCGCCATTAATATTCGCCCCAATTATCTAATTAAGGATATTAGACTTTTTGTTTTAGCAATGGAGTGCAAAATGAAAATCACCCTACACTTGGATTACTAGCTAGCCTTGGATTTGGAACGCAATGGACGAATGTTGTATACTGAATCTGATGAGTCCGAGAATATACATGTTCTTGTGGAAGATGTCGCACTCCACAAGCTGGCATCCTTGAATACTGAATCTGATCCCACAAGAAATACGGTGCAGTCTACACAACAGAAACGTGGTAAGAAGAAATTTGTTGTTCATGAGGGTCTTTGCAATCCCCCTTCAAAAAGGAAAAAAATTTCTAGAGGCACAAACATTCATTTATTCATTTGTAAGATTCCAGAAAACACGATACAAGTAGTCTTGGAAATTCCAATAGGGTTAAGTGACATTACAAGTGAAACTCACTAATTTATTCATTATAATTATAATTTAATTGTAATTAAGAAGCAGCATCGCGATTCACATCACAGCTTCAGTCTTCCCCGCTTCTATCCATATTAATCTCGTGAAGAACGACCACAACAGCAACTATGAAGGCGTAATCAACATGAGGGTACACAGTAACTCCAAATGCATCTCTTCCAAACAAAGCACTTTTAACATCATGTTTCTTGTGCATCTGCATTCACATTAATACATTATATATGTTATATCATCATCATGCATCATGATGAAACTGATGGATAATATGCTAAATCTTACTTGAGCAATGATGGTGTTATCTCCAGTGTATATGGTGCATGATCTCTCCCCCCAACTTCCTTTGACCTTGAAATCATATTGCTCTTCTTTTGTATTAGCAGCCAAGAACACATCTAATTCAGTCTTGAACTGGAAAAGCGATGACTTCTTCGCAGTGAAAAGTAAATCTTTGGCCTCTGAGCTCTCTCCTCTATATACGTGCCATCTCCTATGCGCTGTCAATATCTAAATCAACCCAAATAACAGCACTATGATCAAATTTGATCAAAGCAGAAACATGGGGGTGTAATTTTTCAGTGCTTTAGAGCTGTTTTGAATTGACCTTGTATGAGATCAACATAGGGATGTAAATTGTAATTAACAAATTTAACTTAATTACTGCGATTCACTATAACTATATCAGTACGTACACGTGTCGCCAATCCATGAAACACAAATACAGGTGGGTACCTTTTGTCGAAAAGACAGGATCGGATTGCCGGCGCCGTCGAGCAAAACGCGGCGGTCGTGAAGGCTGAACAGGGAGCCTTTGATCTTGAACATGAGATTGCCGTTGACATCGGAGACTGTGAAGGCACCTTCCTTGAGGCTCATCATCTTCTCGGTGATCACCAGATCCACTGGGTACGTTGCTTGAAACTGTGGGCTGACCACCGTCACTGGGTTCGCCAGTGGCTGAGCGCTCGGTCCAGCTGCCGGCACCGGCACCGCATACGACATGTCGTTAGTTTCTCACCCACACTTGCAGAGCTTGATTTTTTTTGGGGTGTGATCACTGATCAGATTGTTTGGGTATTATTTATTGAAGGATGAGAATAGAGAAATGAGACAAGAGTTGACCCTCTCGTTCGGATAGTGGGAGGGAATCTGTCGGCGGGTCTGAATCCGACTGAGAGTGAAAATTGCAATTGCCATGAAGTGGCGGAGCCCTCTTGTGAACGCGTGGACGTAGTGCGTGGGGACATGTTGTCGAATAAATCCCATATCCAATAATGACATGGATGAAAGACAAATATTTCATTTCCAATTTTGTGATTTGAGAATTATTTATGTTAAATGGTATTGACTCAGTTATTTCTGTGTAAATAAGTATAACGTAATCTTTACATATGTATGTAACAAAGAAAAAAAAGCAACAGATAGTTGTGATTTTGGATATTTAGGTGCATAATTAAAGTTCTATAATTAGGAATATTTCTTGAACCAATTACTTGTAATTACCTTATGTCGAAGAGTGAGGGTCAAAAACTTGATTTATGGAAACACAATTTTGGTGAGTTTGCTTATAATCTTAATATTTGTTGCACTACTATTCTTAATAATTGATACGTGTTCGTAGACATAACCATGATTAATTTTTTATTTTAATTTATGTAATCATGATTATGCTTATAGATACGTATCAAGTATTAAGAAAGGTGGTGAGCATACATATTGGGTTAAAATGGTGAGTAGAAATGCTCCCTTACGTAAATATCATTTTATATATGAGATAATGGGAAATAAGTTCTTCAGGGCAAATCGTACGTATTTAGTATATTAGAGGCTTTCCTGATTGCTTGCAAAATTTGAGAAATTTGAAACAGAAAGAAACCAATACAAGTAGAGAACGTGGAGAAAGATATGAACATGAGGGCATCAAGGGTTGAAAATTTAGAAAAAGAAAGAATATGTGAGGAATGTGAGATTTTAGCCACACATGTTAAATAAATATGAGTGCGTGCATCATCACATTCACGTGTCATTTATCAAATAAAGATTATAATCGAGCAACATATATATACTAAAATAAATCGTAATATTTATGAATATTTACAAAGGCAAAGGCCAAAGGGATAGCAACAAAGATGCATATCGTTTCCTCATTAGAGCAAGAAAGTAGATCCAAACTAATCTACTCAATCCTTGGTCTTAATTTTAATTTTCATTAATCTCATCAAGAATCACAATAAGCGCGATGATGAATGCATAGTCAATGCCTGGGTACACTGTCACCATGAAATTGTCCTTTCCAAACAACACGCTTTGAACTGTCCGCTTCTTATGCATCTGCAATATTTTCCCCACAAAGATATTCTATCGCAGTCAATACACAGTTGATGCAGTAATTAATTAATATTAATATAGTTGATTATAAGATTAATTGAAGTAATCTTACTTGGGCAACGATGGTGGAAGAGTTCCCACCATATATGACACAAGATCGTTCAAACCAACTTCCTTTGATCCTAAAGTCAGGTGCTTTCTCGGCGATGTTATTTGCTAAGAAAATATCCAATTTGGTCTTAAATTGGAACATCGAAGACCTCTTAGCACTAAAAATCAGATCCCTTGTTTCTGTGCTATCCCCCCTAAAAACTTGCCATCTTTCATGTGCACTTATGTACTGCACATAAATATACATACAAGAGAATTAATATAAACTCTCGTAAAAGTTCTCTTGCTAGACTGTGTGTCAATTTATTATCAGGAGGAGCAAAAGCCCAGCAACAGAGAGACTACAAAGGAAGAAGGCGAGGTCTGGAGGTGCCAATGGCATCAGCAGCCAGAGTTTCAATAAGAGACGTTGGAGGCAGATCAAAAATTTGAATGCCAGGAGCCAAATCAGCACACATTGCAGCCAAGGCATCCGCAGCAGTATTCATCTCGCGATAGATATGATGGACAACACAGTTCCAATCACCATGAATCTTTAGTTTGCAATAATTGATGACATTAGAGAGAGGATGGTTGGCTCCAGTCGGGTTGTTAATTAAGTCCACAGCAACAATGGAGTCACACTCAATCTCCACAAGCCGAATCCCAGCATCCCAAGCTAAAGAGAGCCCCCAGAAAATGCCCCATAATTCTGCCTCAAGGATAGAACCCACTCCCAATTTTCCAGTAAATCCCTTGAGCCAAGCACCATCAGCATCTCTTAATAAACCACCAGCACCAATCTCTCTCTCTATTTCATCTGGGTAGCTCTAGTTTTTAGTTTTCTTATTGATTCATTACTGGTTTGGGGGAAATATTTGCTTTTTATTTTTCGTGATCCCTCTCTTGTGCTCTTGTTCATAAAGTGGGTATCTTTGGTTTTGGTTAATTTCGTGATTTGAATTGTCATGTCTTTGGGTGTTTGAAACCTGTGACCTGTGAAATAAGGAGGAGGAGAGAAGAGAGAGAGAGCGATGTGTTGGCGCTAAATCTTGAATAGATAGAGATGAGTGCAACTTACAAGTGGGATGGACGATCAAGAGATCGATTGGGTGTTGGATGCCGATTCTTCCTGTCCTTGGATGCTGATCCTGAATAGAAGATAAGCGAAGCTCGTGAGGTCTATGGAACCGGTGTGGAACCAGCCTAAGACCCTCCGATGCTCAAGTAAGATTGTTTTTAAGAGCTCTTGCTGTTGATCATATAGAAGTATAAAAGTCAAGCTGAAAAGTCTCTTCCCCTGTATTGTAGTGGGAGGGGCATACTTATAGAGGGCATTTAGTATGCTCTTAGCGCTCATTTTCGATGTGGGACTCGTGGGAGGGCCCTATGAGGTTGACACGAGTCCTTAGATATTTCAGGCGGGTGCTTCGAGGTTGATTCTGCAGAATCGGTAGGGGATACCGATTGTAGGCTGTGTTGGGCCCTGTAATGATCTTTTGCTGCTTTGAGACAATATCATCAGTAGCCTATGCCGATTGTCCGAGGCCTTGGGTGCTTGGGCGAGTTTATGAGATCCACGTGTCGTTGTACGAGTGGAGGGTCAGATATGGTACAAACAAGACTACGAATTCAATCTAAAAA